TGCCCCCTCCCTATCACAGCCTGCCTGTTTAACACTCCCCCCCAATCACAGCCTGCCTGTTGAGCATGCCCCCTGCTCATGCATAGCCTGCCTCTTGAACACGCCCCTTCCCAGTCACAGCCTGCCTCTTGAACATGTCCCCTCCCAATCACAGCCTGCCTCTTGAACACGCCCCCTCCCCAATCACAGCCTGCCACTTGAACACGCCCCTTGCCAATCACAGCCTGCCTGTTGAACACACCCCCTCCCAATCAGCCTGCCACTTGAACACCACGCCCCCCTGCCAATCACAGCCTGCCTGTTGAACACACCCCCTCCCAATCACAGCCTGCCTGTTGAACACACCCCCTCCCAATCACAGCCTGCCTCTTGAACACACCCCCTACCTGCCTGTTGAATACGCCCCCTGCGTAAGTACAGGCTGCCTCTTGAACACACCCCCTCCCAATCACAGCCTGCCTCTTGAAACACACCCCCTCCCAATCACAGCCTGCCTGTTGAACACTCCCCCTGCCAATCACAGCCTGCCTGTTGAACACACTCCCTACCTGCCTGTTGAATACTCCCCTGCTTAAGCACAGCCTGCCTCTTAAAAACTCCCCCTGCTCCTCAGGCTGAACAGACCATGGAATACAGGCACACGGTGTGTCTGGACAGTCTCCTGTAACCCTTCCCCCACCATCAAGAAGAAGAGATTTCTGAAACAAAATCAGTCATGGTGCAGGGATAGTTATAACGGTATCAAAAAGTATCTATAACATTGTATTTCCACAACGCCTTTAGGCCCTGTTCACATTGTGCGCAGAATTCAGGGTCCTGCTCGCAATGTTAGTTTTGGCGATTTTTTATGTGATTCTGCGTGTCGCACATAGAGCAGCCCATGGGAGTTTTTATCGCAGGCATTTCCCTGATAAAAGATGAGGGCAGTCCCGAAGAGCAGAACACAAAGGGCCCCTGAGGGCCCCCAGCTCAGCCGCTGTGCTCATTGATTGTACTTGAACAATCGGTCAGGAGTTGTACGGAATACACAGGTACTGACACTGGCAGTAGTAGATCCTCCTCCTGCACTTCTACAGAGACCTTGCGCGGCCTGGCAGTAACAGGGAGCACAGAACTGGTCACACGACCGCCGCCTGCCGCCATCCCGCCTCCACACAGCTTATTAATGAGAATTTTTCCTCGGCTGAGTTGATGTTATAATTTAGCGATGATCTTCATCCTCTGGAGAGAGAGCGGAAATGATTCTCGGGGACGTCCATTAATTGCCCGCCGTCCTCCTCTGGCTGCACCGCAGTTAATCTTGCACATCGTGTGCCGTGTCGCGGTGCTCATCCAATCAGAAAGCCGTGTTCGGGCCTTGGACGGCGTCTGCTGCTCTCCAGCTCATCGGTTGATCTTTACTTCTCTCCGTGCCACCGGCAGGGGGTCACCTTGTGTGGGGGTTTCACGGCCGACCAACTGCAGCGTCCATAATTGTGTCACTTATTGGAGTCGGAACGCATCCTGCTGCCATGGCAACCGTCCGCCCCGGCCTGAGCGCCGCTCCACTAGGATAGGCCGGATCCGAGCTCCGTGAAATCGATGTTCATGTCCCTTCAGGGTGCTGAGGCTGAATGCTCGCAGTAAAGTGTTACGTGCCTTGACAGCGTTGGGGCCTTGACAGGGGGTTAAAGGGGAACTCCAAATTTACACCCTGGGAGGGAAGTTTCTTGCATTGGGTTCAAAGATAAGTGCTATGTGGGGTGGTATGTCCTCTACTGGTTGCCCGGACATCATGTTGATAATTTACTTCACAGTCACTTTGGCTTGGCTCGTGACAGGTACACTTTAGCCACTTCCCTCCCAACCTTGGCCTCCCATTAAGTGGGCTTTACATCTGTAGGGAACGGGACTTCCTGATCACATGACCACTCTAACTGGCTGTCGCTGTGGTCACATGATCAGAAGTCCGTCCTATTTATACAACAGCTCAGTCATTGTGATGGGAGCGCGTACTGAGCACGCTCTCAGCGCAGAAACCTCAGCCATCCATGGGCGTTATAGCCCACCCTCTTTGCCGCCACACATATGTGTTATGTGGGTGGCAAGAGGTTAAAAAAAGGTTTGGTGCTTTTATACCCCCCCCCCCAAAAAAAATCCAAAATGATGTTTCGTAGTTGTTTATCCCCTGTTTATATCTGTCAACCACTGTCATTGGTGTCTAATGTTTACAGAGATCAATAGCTCAAGATAAAATGTGCACACAGAGCAAAAAAGCTAGAGCATAGACTCCTCCCTTTTATAACAAAGACTCCTCCCTTTCCAAAGAAGAGACTCCCCCTTTTCTAGACCTATGACTCCACCCTTACCTTTTGTACTTCATCTGATTTTTCAATCAGAGACGGCCCACCTGAAAGGAGACTAAAATGAGAGACGTTTACAGAGATCAATAGCTCAGGATAAAATGTACACACAGAGCAATGAGTCAGAAGATAGACTCCACCCCCTTTTATAGCAAGGACTTCTCCTCCGCCAAAGCAGAGACTCCTCCCCTTTCCAGACCTATGACTCCACCCTTTCCTTTTGTACACTCCATTTGATGTTTCAATCAGAGACAGCCCACCTGAAAGGAGACTAAAATGACAGAAGTTTACAGAGATCAATAGCTTCCTCCCCTTTCGTAGCAGGGATCCCTCCCCTTCCAAAGCAGAGACTCCTCCCCCGTGTGTGTGTGTCAGAGAATAGACACCACCCCTTTTATAACAAGGTCTCCTCCTCTAAAGCAGAGACTCCTCCCCTTTCCGGACCTATGACTCCACCCTTTTCTTTTGTACTTCATCTGATTTTTCTATCAGAGACAGACCACCAGAAAGGAGACTGCTGTGCTGTCTATTTAAATATCCCAGAGTGCTCTGGGAATCCTGTGTCATGTAATGTTTGCTTGTAAAATAAAGAGTTTGTGTGTGTCAGAAAATAGACTCCACCCCTTTTATAACAAGATCTCCTCCTCCTCCTTTAAAGCAGAGACCCCTCCCCTTTCCAGACTATAACTCCACCCTTTCCTTTTGTACTACTCCATTTGATGTTTCAATCAGAGACAGCCCTCCTGAAAGGAGACTTAAATGACAGACGTTTACAAAGATCACTAACACAGGATAAAATTTACACACAGAGTAAAAGCATAGACTCCTCCCCTTTCATAGCAGGGATCCCTCCCCTTCCAAAGCAGAGACTCTTCCCCTTTCCAGAGCAATGACTCCACCCTTCCCTTTTGTACTTCATCTGAATTTTCAATCAGAGCCAGCCCACCTGGAAGGAGCCTGCTGTGCCGTCTATTTAGATAACCCAGAGTGCTCAGGGAATCCTGTGTCTTGTAATGTTTGTTTGTAAAATAGAGAGTGTGTGCGTATATATATATATATATATATATATATATACATATACAAGTGTATCTTGGTTTACGAATTTAATGCATTCTCTGGGATGTTTCGTATTGTGAAAAATTTGTAAACCGAATGCATTTTCTGTGGTTGAATTGAATGGACTTTTGTTGTTTTCAGCCAGACTAACTATGAAAACCAATTAATCTGTTCCGGAGGTCAGAAGAAAGTAAAAAAAGTATTTTATCTGTTCAAAACTCTTTATAAAGTGCACTTTAAAGGCATAAATATTGTACAGGGACATGATTAACCTCCCTAGCGGTCTGATTATGTCAGTATTTCTGTGCTGAAAGCGGTACATTTTTTTGCATGGAAATATGTATTTTTTTATTGTAGGCCTGTAATTCTTAGGAATAACTCACTGAAATCTGTTCGAACAAGAGTCTAGTAAACATCCCGGGGAGGATAAAATTGGTAACACGAAATCATAAATTATAATAAATAATCATAAAAAAAATAATATAATAATAATAAATTTAATTCAATAATATAATCAAACCAAAAACACTGAAATGTGAAATAGAGCGCCAAGTTCGCACATCGCTGAGCTCAGTCGCAGAATCGTTTTCAGTGTCTGATGAGGAATTTCCCCCACCAATCATTATCACTCAATTCTGCAAGTGGTTCTGATTTACTATCGCTGTTCTCTAGACGGTCTAAAACCGCGTCTGACCTAAAGGGACGCTTTTTGGACGCCATGGACGTTTCTCAGTTTCCAGGCAGAAAGAACAGTAATAATGCAGGCAGGGCGCCGGACAAAGCACTCGGGACAAAATGTATGTGAAATGGTTTGATACAGGAATGTTATACTATGTGATTTTAGTGAATTTAGTGAATGTCACTTTTTTTCCCATTTTTTAATTTCCTGCCAGTTCCGTCCCCCGTACATCCCGACGTCGCAGGGAATGGAACCCGGAAGACAGATGCCGGCATCGGCTGGAGGACATTGCCGGGGACACTGCAGGGGGGACATCGCGGGAGCGCAGGACAAGGTAAGTGCAGAAGAGATCCCGGAGCAACGCTGCAGTGTATTCCTGAGTGTAGCTCGGGGGGGTTACTGCTTGTGGTGCTGAAACTTTACCCCGAGCTACACTCGGGAATACCGCCAGGGGGGGTTAATCAAGCAATAACTCGATGCAAAAACCGCTCCAACACCTCCACACTCGACTCCTTGTGCTACCCACAGACTCCAGCATGCACAGGTGCGGCGCTATAAACCTCCCAGGCGCAATGCATCCTGGGGAAACATACTTCACATTGCGAAAAAAATTTGTAAACCGAGCCATTATTTTTAATGGATTTTCATTCGTAAACCGAAAACTACGTTAACCGAGGTGCGCCTGTACCAGCCATCTACGTACTGACCAGCGGTGGTGAGCTCTGTGTGCTGTTGCCTTGTCTACCTGTCATTACAATTATACAGCCTGATAGCTCTGTTTGCACAGATGTTGCTGGTGGGCGGCTTGTTGTCACAGCTCTGGGTCAGGAGTGACGACAGGTTTGCAGCTGCGTCAATAGATTGTCAGCTCTGCGCGGCAATAAGTGATGGTCCCTCTGCGGGGGACATTAGTGGTTCCTGTGGCTGTTGCCCAATCACTCCCTTGTTATATCTCACCTTGGCTACTGTAACTCCCTCCTCATTGGTCGACCTCATCGCAGGCTATCCCCTCTTCAGTCTATCATGAATGCTGCTGCCAGACTCATCCACCTTACTAACCGTTCCATATCTGCCATCCCTCTCTGCCAATCCCTCCACTGTCCTCCACTCAGTGTCCTCCACCCCTCTCTGCCAATCCCTCCACTCAGTGTCCTCCACCCCTCTCTGCCAATCCCTCCACTGACCTCCACTCAGTATCCTCCACCCCTCTCTGCCAATCCCTCCACTCAGTGTCCTCCACCCCTCTCTGCCAATCCCTCCACTGGCCTCCACTCAGTATCCTCCACCCCTCTCTGCCAATCCCTCCACTGACCTCCACTCAGTGTCCTCCACCCCTCTCTGCCAATTCCTCCACTGGCCTCCACTCAGTGTCCTCCACCCCTCTTTGCCAATCCCTCCACTCAGTGTCCTCCACCCCTCTTTGCCAATCCCTCCACTCAGTGTCCTCCACCCCTCTTTGCCAATCCCTCCACTCAGTGTCCTCCATCCCTCTTTGCCAATCCCTCCACTGGCTTCCCATTGCCCAACGAATAAAGTCAAAACATTAACAATCACATATGTAACCATTTATAACTCCGCCCCAAATTACATCACCAATCTTCTCTCCAAATATCTCCCAAACCGTCCTCTCCGCTCCTCCCACGATCTCCTGCTCGCTAGCTGCCTTGTTTCTTCCTCCCATGCTCGTCTCCAGGACTTCTCCAGAGCATCCCCCCATCCTCTGGAACTCTCTACCCCAATCTATCAGACTATCCACTCAGTGTCCTCCACCCCTCTCTACCAATCCCTCCACTGACCATCACTCAGTATCCTCCATCCCTCTCTGCCAATCCCTCCACTGGCCTCCATTCAGTGTCCTCCATCCCTCTCTGCCAATCCCTCCACTGGCCTCCATTCAGTGTCCTCCATCCCTCTCTGCCAATCCCTCCACTGGCTTCCCATTGCCCAACGGATAAAATTCAAAACACTAACAATCACATATAAAACCATTTATAACTCCGCCCCAATTACATCACCGATCTTGTCTCCAAATACCACCCAAACCGTACTCTCCGCTCCTCGCAAGACCTCCTGCTCTCTAGCTCCCTTGTCTCCTCCTCCCATGCTCATCTCCAGGACTTCTCCAGAGCTTCTCCCATCCTCTGGAACTCTCTACCCCAATTTATCAGACTGTCACCTACTCTGGTCACTTTTAGGCGATCTCTGAAAACTGATCTCTTCAGGGAAGCCTATCCTGCCCTCAGCTAATACTGAAATCTTCTACTCTTCCAACCAGTCCATCCCCCACAGTTACTACCTTTTGTACCACTAGCCCCTCCCTCCTAGATTGTAAGCTCCCAGGATCAGGGCCTCCTATCCCTCTTGTATTGAACTGTATTGTTGCTGTATTGTCTCCCGTTATATTGTACAGCGCTGAGCACACTGCTGGCGCCATAAATCCTGTATAATAATAATAATAATAATTAGTGGTTCCTGTGGCTGTTGCCCAATCCCCATCTGTGAAGAGTTTGTGGATCTGTATCAGGAGGTGGCAATCACCGCCACAGCCTAGAGCAGGCTTCAGTGAGATGCTGTGACATCATCGCTATCGTGTGACATCATTTCCAGGACGCAGCGTACCCATAGTGAGGGTTATGGCTTGGAGAACCATTCACACCTGTGTGTTGAACATGCATTATGATGCGTTTTACATGCGTTGCATTAAAAAAATGCATCCATTGTGATTGGGCCACAACGCGCCAAAGATGCAGCATGCCACACTTTTCTTGACGCAATCCTCCAGTGCGAACGGTCTCCTAAAGACCGATATGTGAAGGAAAACAGATTAGGGGGTTCTCCTAACAATCGGGGGTCCCGGCCTCAGAAGGGGTGGGGGGTGCAGAGGGGAAAGTGCAAAGTTTTCCAGACGTTAGGCTGCTTTCACACTGTTCTGTATCAATAACACAACGCATGATTTGTGTTTGCCGTGGTTTTGTCTCTTTGCATTAAATGCAGCGTAACGCATGGTGTGCGTTTTTTATGCGTTTTTGATGTGTTTGTGTTGCATTTTCCCCATATCACTTCCCACTTTTCCATTACGATTTTCATAAGATCTCGAGGACTATGCAGTGTGACTTGCGTGCGAATTTGAGGCGACTTCAATGTGACTCTAGAAGTCGAATCGCTATAGATAAGAAGCATTCCTGTGATGGATGAGTATTTTTTTTAAACCTTACCTCTCCTCCCTGGTCATCCTTTCTGCCTAAGGCTAGTTTCACACTGGAGAGTTTTTGATCGTTCCTTTGCTCCTTACTACTATCAATCGATTGACCCTTGATTCAGTTGATCAATCTACCCTTCCTTTGATCGTTTCCTCCTTCGATTGATCAATCCTGCTTTCGATCAATTGATCATTCCTCCCTTTGATCAATCAATCCTTTCTTTGATCAATCAAGCCTTCCTTTGACCAATCGATCCCTCCTTCAATCTATTGATTGATTCGTCCTTCAATCCATTGATCCTTCCTTTGATCAATTGTTCGATTGATGGAAGTATAGAACGATTGATCGAAGTAAGGACTGATCAATAGATGTATGGGTCGATCGATCAAAGGAAAGAATGATAAGTGTTTTTTTTAATCTTACCTCTCCTCCCTGGTCATCCTTGCGGCTAGGTTTACACTGGAGAGGTTTTGATCCTTCCTTCGATCCTTCCTACTATCAATCGATCGACCCTTGCTTCAGTTGTTGATCGATCTACCCTTCCTTTGATGTACCCGTCCTTTGATCATTTCCTCCTTCGATCGATCAATCCTGCTTCTGATCAGTTGATCATTCCTCCCTTTGATCAATATATCCTTCCTTTGATCAATCGATCCCTCCTTCAGTCTATTGATTGATCCTTCCTTCAATCCATTGATCCTTCCTTTGATCAATTGTTCGATTGATGGAAGGATAGAACGATCGATCGAAGTAAGGACTGATCAATAGAAGTATCGGTCAATCAATCAAAGGAAGGAATGATAAGTGTTTTTTTAAATATTACCTCTCCTCCCTGGTCATCCTTGCTGCCTAAGGCTAGGTTCACACTGGAGAGGTTTTGATCCTTCCTTCGAGCCTTATTACTATCGATTGATTAACCCTTGCTTCAGTTGATCGATCTACCCTTCCTTTGATGTACCCGTCCTTTGATCGTTTCCTCCTTTGATCGATCAATCCTGCTTTCAATCAATTTATTATTCCTCCCTTTGATCAATCAATCCTTCCTGTGATCAATCGATCCCACTTTCGATCTGTTGATCGATCCTTCCTTCAATCCATTGATCCTTCCTTTGATCAATTGTTCGATTGATGGAAGTATAGAACGATTGATCGAAGTAAGGACCGATCAATAGATGTATGGGTCGATCGATCAAAGGAAAGAATGATAAGTATTTTTTTTTAATCTTACCTCTCCTCCCTGGTCATCCTTTCGGCTAGGTTCACACTGGAGAGGTTTTGATCCTTCCTTCGATCCTTACTACTATCAATCGATCGACCCTTGCTTCAGTTGATCGATCTACCCTTCCTTTGATGTACCCGTCCTTTGATCATTTCCTCCTTCGATCGATCAATCCTGCTTCTGATCAGTTGATCATTCCTCCCTTTGATCAATATATCCTTCCTTTGATCAATCGATCCCTCCTTCAGTCTATTGATTGATCCTTCCTTCAATCCATTGATCCTTCCTTTGATCAATTGTTCGATTAATGGAAGGATAGAACGATCGATCGAAGTAAGGACTGATCAATAGAAGTATCGGTCAATCAATCAAAGGAAGGAATGATAAGTGTTTTTTTAAATATTACCTCTCCTCCCTGGTCATCCTTGCTGCCTAAGGCTAGGTTCACACTGGAGAGGTTTTGATCCTTCCTTCGAGCCTTATTACTATCGATTGATTAAGCCTTGCTTCAGTTGATCGATCTACCCTTCCTTTGATGTACCCGTCCTTTGATCGTTTCCTCCTTTGATCGATCAATTCTGCTTTCAATCAATTTATTATTCCTCCCTTTGATCAATCAATCCTTCCTGTGATCAATCGATCCCACTTTCGATCTGTTGATCGATCCTTCCTTCAATCCATTGATCCTTCCTTTGATCAATTGTTCGATTGATGGAAGTATAGAACGATTGATCGAAGTAAGGACCGATCAATAGATGTATGGGTCGATCGATCAAAGGAAAGAATGATAAGTGTTTTTTTTTCTTAATCTTACCTCTCCTTCCTGGTCATCCTTTTGGCTAGGTTCACACTGGAGAGGTTTTGATCCTTCCTTCGATCCTTACTACTATCAATCGATCGACGCTTGCTTCAGTTGATCGATCTACCCTTCCTTTGATGTACCCGTCCTTTGATCGTTTCCTCCTTTGATCGATCAATCCTGCTTTTGATCAATTGATCATTCCTCCCTTTGATCAATCAATCCTTCCTTTGATCAATCGATCCCACTTTCGATCTGTTGATCGATCCTTCCTTCAATCCATTGATCCTTCCTTTGATCAATTGTTTGATTGATGGAAGGATAGCACGATCGATCGAAGTAAGGACTGATCAATAGAAGGAAGGATTGATCGATCAAAGGAAGTAAGGGTCAGTCGATCAAAGGAATGAGTGATAAGTCGCATCACTATAGATAAGAAGCATTCCTATGATGGGTGAGTGTTTTTTTTTTCATCTTACCTCTCCTCCCTGGTCATCCTTGTTGTCTAAGGCTAGGTTCACACTGGTTTTGATCCTTCCTTCGATCCTTCCTTCAATCAGTCGATCGACCCTTATTACATTTGATAGATTGATGCTTCCTTGGATCAACTTATCCTTTCTTTGATAGTTCCTTCCTTTGATCATTCCCTCCTTCGATCAATTCTTCCTTCGATTGATCAATCCTGCCTTTGATCGATCAAGCGTTCAGTTGATCAGTCCTTCCTTCAATCAATCGATTAGTCCTTCAATTGATCAATCGATCCTTCCTTTGATTGATCCTTCCTTTGATCGATTGTTTGATTGAAGGAAGGAAAGTACAATTGTTCGAAGTAAGGATGGATCAATACCAGGAAGGATAGATCAATCAAAGGAAGTAAGGGTCGATCGATTGAAGGAAGGATCAATCAATGGGAGGGTCAATTAATTGCGGGATGAATTGATTGTTTAAAGGAAAGAAAGAAGGATTGATCGATCAAAAGAAAGAAGGAAGGAAGGGTCAATTGACCGAAGGAAGGGTTGATCGATTGAAGGCTCCAAAATCACAGCTGTATCAAATTCGATGGATGAAGGTTGACCAGGGAGGAGAGGTGAGGGCTGAATCCA